ATAAAACTTACTCTTCACCAATCTAGTCACCATATCTCAGTCACATAGAATCTTGACACACTCTTCCATTCATTTTCATCCACCATGTTCTAATTTATGTAATATATCTCCATCTAGTTCACCATATTACTGAATTATGAAGCCCAAGTAACAGAACACATCACTAGCCGGTATCTTCTTACCCATCTAGGATAATCTCATTGTTACCACCGCTTCTACCTTCACCAAATTTGCCCTTCATATACTCAGTCTTACTTCAACTCAGCTTGGAACTCTTGTTCTTCAAAGTTTGTCGTAATACTTTCAACTTTGTTTTAGCACTCTATTGTGTCTCATCAATCAATACAATATTGTCGACAAACATCATGCACCATGGTATCCCTATGACTATAGCAAAGACTTCTCGAGATACCATATAATATTCCTTTTCTATGTAAATGAACACCAAAAGCACACGTCTTTATACTTCTCCACAAGTTGTCTAAGAAGGTGAAAAGAATGGCGTCATTTGTTGAGCGATCAGACATAAAATCGAATTGATTCTCCGAAATCTTCACACTTCTTTGGAGCATTTGCTCAATCATTTGTCAAGGTAGTCAAAGTCGAAAGGCGCACTAAAAGTGTTAGGGCTCTCTTGTGCCTAAGGTGTAATTAAAGCGCTCGCTTGACTCGGGTGAAGCGCATTACTTAAATAATATCACATACACTATTCTATAATTACCAAATATGATATAATGTAACATCATATTGATCCAAATGCATTAAAAACCATGATTCACCAAAATAAAGTCATCTTTCACAAAAATAAAACACCAAATTTAGAATTCATGGCTTTAATAATAAAACTAAACATAAAAGATGATCAAATCGAAGCCTTTCTAGTGTTGTAAACAAACTAAGTTTGCTTGAGATGATGAAGAAAACATATCATATCAGCTGAAGTGAGGAGAGTGAGCAAACTGAAGAGCGATGATTGTTGTAGTGTTTTACTCTGGGTTTTACGTTGCAACGCGGCGTAACCGGCGCAATTCTCATGGCTCCCTCGGCCAATTCGATAAAGATTGGTGAACAGAGCCGTCGTTGACTCGATACCTAGCTCAGAACACCGGATCAGAAACCCGATAATCAGGGAATAGCTGTTAGGGGTGAGTAAGGCCGGAGGAAGACCCACCATTTCAAGGTACTCAGTGATAAAAGGATAAACGGGAAACCTCGACCCCTTAGCAAAACTCATGGGGTACACTCCAAAATATCCCGGAGGATTAAGTACATGGTCCGTCGGTTTCGGTGCTCTGACCCGGCCGTAGGGACCAACATACAGTTGCGCTACGTGATACTCGCTAGGCGAACTCTGCGGACGAATAATATAAAGGTTTGACAAATCTAACTGAGAAAATCCCGCAGACAAACCTTTCTTAGGATGAGGCCGACGTTGTCTCCTCTTTCCATCAGTCGACGGGGTGCCACCCGGAACGGAAGAAATTGGGTGAGGACAGGGAATGGCAGCCGAAGAGGACGCATCATCTTCCTTAAGCACTAGACCAGAATCCGATTCGTCCTCACCCGACACTATGGCACCTGCATCATCCTGCAGACGTCCCTCATCATCCTCAGTCCTATAATCACTTGTATTCTCCATTTCAACGACGAAGTCCTCCACGAGCTTCAAAGCGATCCGAGGAGACGTGTCTTCTTCATCGAAAGGCCAGTACTCCTCGTCTAGAGACGCTGTTAAATCGATGGGGGAGGGTACGGTACGGCCGTCAGGGAACGGCATAACCACTAAATAAAATCCTTAAGGGTGGTTTTTCGATCTAAGTGATCTTTCCCACAAACACTAGATTTAACCCCCAAGGAAGCAAAGAATAAGAAAAGAGGCAAGAACAAATGAAGAACCTAACCTTGAAGACTTGAGAAAACTCGAAGAACACTTGAAGGATCTGGGAAACGCTTTCTCTCTCTAGAATTGGGCAGCATTTCGATACTCAGCAATATAAGAATGGAGGCATGCTTCAGGTCTTGGGGGTACTTATAGTCACCCCCACCAACGGTCACTACACGTGCAGGGCCGACTAGAGCAATTATGAGGCCCTAGATGGTCATGTAGAAATTTTGTTTTAAATATGTTTTATTTAACCCAATGATATAAAAAAATAGCAATTAAATATAAGTAAATTACATCTAAAATACATCATATACTATTAACACAATGAGAATATTCTTCGAAATCAGAAGATCAAAGTTGATGAAAAAATACAAAGAGCCCTAGAGGGAGAAGGTTTTGTGCTTACATACAACATACCGATCGATAGAGCCGGAAAGTGATTTCATGACCAAATCATTTCTTAATTTTTTTCTTTGTCTTTGTACATCTTGATTCATATTTTGTTTTCCAATCATCACAAAACATAAAATTTCATTCAAAATAATACTATCACTAAATATAAGTTAATGGTTCATAGATATAAATTTAATTCACTAAATTTAATCAAATATAAAAAATTATAAGTATGTTCAATATTTCGATGAATCAAAATAACAAATTACAATTTCAATTATTCAATAAGCATTCAAATATATTTAGAATACTCACTATCCTAAATCCCTAGCCCTACTGCCCTAGCCAACAAAGAAAAAAAAAGGAAAAAGGAGCAAATAAACCCACACACTAACCAAAAAGGTCAAATAAGCCCTTGTATAAGAGACTTTGTCCCGCCGTCGCCATTTGGGGCAGTTCCCGGGGGAATTTTTTGATGAAATTTTTTTAGAATCTTATTCATTAAGTCTTGTTTACTTATACCAAATTTCAGCTAACAATTCAACATGGAAGGCATTCAAATAAATTCTTGAAGATAACTGCACTTTTAACTGCGCAGTTATCTTCAAGAATTCATTTGAATGTCTTCCCGATTGAATTTTTAGGTGAAATTTAAGATGAGTAAACTAGAACATAATGAATAAGATTCTAAAAAAAAATCATCAAAAAATTACAAAGGAAACTATCCCAAATGTTGACGGCCGGACAAAGTCTCCTAAATAATATTAATAAGCTTATTTTATAAATTAGAGGCCCCTAAAATTTGGAGGCCCTAGACACTTGTCTAGGGTAACTCCCCCTATGGCCGGCCCTGTACACGTGGCATGCAACCAGTGGCTACACCAACAGTCGCCTCCATCAGAACCAATCAGAGAGACAGCCTATTCAACTTCTCCATTACGCACCTCTACTACGGCCCAAGTAGCCACCAACAAAGAGCGAGGCTACGGCCACAAACAACAACGGCAAACCACCAAGTCTACAGATGGTACGGGATCGCACCAAACCAAAGTAAGATAAATCCTAGGGCCTACGGTCACTCGTACAGAACCCATGGAGGATAACCTTTGGCGTGCGACCTTCGTCCAAGGATTCTCCCACAAGGTTATTGGCTGGGGATCGCCAGGGGGTTGGATTTCATGAGGAATGTGAGCCGACGCGTGTTCCAAGCTTTTCGACATAATTTCTTATCTTACTCCTTCCCACCTACCATGCTTTTCGACACGAAGGAGTGGGGGACTGGGGGATTACATCGGCCTCAAAATAACTTGGAACCCCAGGGACACAACAAGTATCATAACGTCCAAAAATGCATGGCACGCCTCCGACTACAACAGGATGCAAAGGAAGGGATTGGAGAAAGAGACACACATCGTCCCCAACACAGAAGATAAAGGCAATACTCCATCCACGAATCAGCAAAAGCTTGGAACACGCGTCGGCTCAGAAGCCATAACGCATCACCACCATCACAACGACCACAAATACATGGTTTTCCTTCGGCCAAGCCAAAAGGAATACCAAGAGGATGCGCATCATCCTCAAAATGATGAATCACACTTCAACATCCCAAAACAAAAGCTAGGGATCCATAACGGCTACAAAGGTAATGGCAACTCACCAGCCATCAAAATACGTCAAGGACATCGGCCATCAGCTACAAAGAAGCCAGTGAGACACGCTACGGCCAGAAGCACCATGAGCAACAAAATTACTCCCTTTCACTTTGTCTGCATCTCAGCTCAGAGAGTGGAGGACTCCTTATAGAGTATATGGGCCCAGACCCCACGGCCCACATACTCAGGAGATTAAACACAGAAGATCGACGCCACGTGGCGCCGCATCGACCAGACGGCACCTCATCGGTCGGAACCAAAAGTGCTCAGATCGCGGCCCAAGAGCCCAAGGCAGAAGCGGGTCTCCCATCGGCCTGGTACCCCTTCGTCCTGGCACCCGCATCGGCCGAGAAGCTCTGGCAGATTGTATTTCCACATTTAGTTAAGTAAGATATGTACCCAGCCCATTAGTGGCCTTATTATGCCCAAAAGAGGCCTTATTATTGTAATGGGCCTCCTAAGCCCCAAGCTAGGAGCCCAAATCCACATTTACTACAATAAATAGCCCCCTAGGGGGTAGTTATAGGGGGTTGAGTAATATTAATTGCATTCTCTCTAGCTCTCACTTCTCTCTAGAACTTATACTCTATCAAAGGGTTAAGGAAAACTTGAACCACAACATATGGAAAACTTTAATCTCATGAAAATCCCAGGATAAAGAGAGCATCTACCCTGTGGACTAGAGAAATTGTTTCCATCAAAATCCAGGCAAGGAAAATTGGGAGTTAGGTCAATAAATTTGAAAATCTTATGCTTTTTTAAATCTTCAAGATTTACATTAAAAATTGAATTGCGGTAGGAAAAGGACAACCAAATGGAATGTTAGCATGAACTGTATACAAAAATGAATGGGCAACAAAGACAAGCTATGAAAGGAGAAAGAGACATCAAAAGGATACAGAGAAGTAGTGAGGCAAATAAGCAGATAAGAAAGTAAACACCTCGTAGCAGTTTACCAGTTTCACTCAATCATACCTGTTACCCTAATCCATAGTCTATGAATCCCTGTCAGTGGTCATCCAGATATGGCAAACATACACTAAGTAGACACAAACATCTAGTATTACCTATACCTTGAACATTTTGACTACTATTGGCAATATTAGCCTGCAGAGGATTAGCCATGGGATTTTGTGCTGATTTTGTCTCCATTGACAACATCTTTAAGGATATCTTCCGCAGATAATCTGACTGCAATAGAAATGAAGTTGATTGAAGAATGTCATTTGCGATGCATAGATAATCTCAGAACTCATAAACAAACATTTAACAGTTCAAGGAAGTTGACTAGATGAAGACTAAAAATAATGAATAACCAATATTTTGCATACCTGATTTTTAGCTGCAGCATAAACTTTTTCCTCAAACCTCACAGCAATTTTCTTAAGTTCTTGCAGCTCCTCTTGTCCGGAGAATGGAAGATGTCGCTTTAAAGTTTCCATTCTATACCATCATATTCCACATATCAGTTAAGATGAGAATTGATAAGGATACCATCTCCAAGACTCCAACCTTACAAGAGAACTAGCACACAGGAAATCATCACATACACTGATATTACTCATATATTACCCACCCAACCCACTGAAAAATGAATCAGAACCTATAGTCATGATTCACGAATATAAGCCTTGAATTTGATATTGCTTAGTTTACAATAAGAACAAAATATTGCAGTTTTGGGAGTCTCCTGAATGATCATAGAGACTAATGTTTCAGGGGGGCGTTGTATTGTGTATGGATTGACAGAAAAACGCAATAAATGTGGGTTGTAAAGCCCAAAGCTATGTTGTTGGGAATTGGGATACTAGCGGATAGTAAGATCGGGTAAATTAAGGTTTTTAAGAAAGTTAATTTCTAGAATTGGTTTCCGATTCGTATTGATAGACATATACGCGCCAAGCTCCCAAATAGATTTGGTAAGAAATTTACATCTCGTTAACGATCCTTTGCCTGGAATCCGGTTGAAGTTGGGCCCGCCAATCGCCCGTCTCCAAGGCTCCTGAAGCCGGTGCTGGTGCAGCCGGCCCAGCTGCTATGCCAGTGGCGTCACCACCCTGAGCCTGAGAAAGAGGTTGCGCCGCTCTCCAACTGTTGGCATCCATGTCAACTTTTTCCTACAGCTTTGGGTTAATGATAAACACGAAAACTCTCCCAGGCTTATGGTCAATAGACTAAGGGAATAAAATTCTAGAATTGGACTTGGTTTGCAGCTGTTGATTGCCTGGTACCGCTCAACAAAACAGCTGCACACTCCTACCTATTTAAAGTTTGAGAATAGGTAGTAGTCATTGCGCCCCCGATGCCTCTAATCATTGGCTATATTTAAAATTCCAATGATCTATCCCCATCACGATGAAATTTCAAAGATTACCCGGGTCTATCGGCCAAGGCTATATGCTCGTTGAATACATGAGTGTAGCGCGCGTGCGACCCAGAACATCGTCGTTTGTTCAACCTTTGGATCGACTAACCCATAAGGTTAATTGATTTGAGCACTCTAATTTCCTCTAATCCAAGAGCCATGCACAACTACTCGTATCTCCAGATCGCAACCAAAGGTTGGACCGAGCACAAATAGGCGTTTGGCGTCCATCTCGCACACATCACTAAGCATATGACAAGGGAAATTAGATAAAGCGTCCACCTATCGGCCAAGGTTATATGCTTAGTGATGTGTGCGAGATGGACCAAACGCCTATTTGTGCTCGGTCCAGCCTTTGGTTGCGATCTGGGCATACGAGTAGTTGTGCATGGCTCTTGGATTCGGTAGAGCTCCAAGTGGGCCATTTTTGGTAAGCAGAACTGGCGATGCGGGATGAACCGGAAGTCGGGTTACGGTGCCCAACTGTGCGCTAACCTAGATTCCACAAAGGGTGCCCGTTGCTGCGATGATTCATGATAACTTGACGGATCGCATGGCCATAGTGCCGGCGACGCATCATTCAAATACTGGTTGATCCTGCTAGTAGTCATATGCTTGTCTCAAAGCCAAAGGTTGGACCGAACACAAATAGGCGTTTGACGTCCATCTCGCACACATCCTCGCATTCAAACGAGGACGAGCACATGACGGAATTGGAGAGTTAACATGCATAATGCCACCCACTACGCTATTGGAGCTGGAATTACCGCGGCTGCTGGCACCAGACTTGCCCTCCAATGGATCCTCGTTAAGGGATTTAGATTGTACTCATTCCAAGGGACAGTGGGAATCTCGTTAATCCATTCATGCGCGTCACTAATTAGATGACGTTGTGGTTGTGCTTTTGGGTGCGACCATGATGAACAACAAATCCCCGTTTTTTCGTCCTTTATAAAATCATCACTAAAGTACTTGCGGCTAGATTAATTCCATGTCTTCCGGGATTAATTGATCATGCCCAAGGTGCTTTTGTGGATGACCGCCTACGGGTCATACGGGTCATACAGGTCATACGGATTAAGGAAAAGGAGATAACAAGAAGAGGAAAAAGAAAAGGATAAATAATTAATCAAGGATAATAAGGCCCGTGGGCTCTCCATTTGACCCGTCTTGAAACACGGACCAAGGAGTCTGACATGTGTGCGAGTCAACGGGCAAGAAAACCCGTAAGGCGTAAGGAAGACAATTAGTGGGATCCCCCTCTGGGGTCTCATTTTATTGTTCAAATTGGACTTTGTAACTCGTTTTTAAAAACTTTTGTATTTGCACCTCAACCATTGTGAAAAGTCAAAAATGTCCCTCCATTAACAATTGTGTTGATCTTAACATTTCCTGGTCGAGGGGTACCTCCATCAACTTTGTTCGTTTCCAGCCTCCAACGGTCTAGGAATTCCTCAAGGGGCTCTTCCTTCTGCTGCCTGACGGTTAGAAGGTGAGAGAAGTGTTTCTTTGATTGGTGCCTCCCTGCGAACTACGTCAACAAACGTTTATGATGGATAGTCTATATTGGGATACCGCTAGTGGTATCTAGAGAGAAGTCAGAGCAATAAGTAAGAGAGAGAAAGTGTGGTAACAATAAATAATCAATCGTCCATTACAACTGCACAAAGGAGCGTTATTTATACTAATCATAAATGTTAGGTGCATTAAATGCGCATACACGTGTAAGCTAGTCTATGGCGGAGAGCCCCCAGTTATGTGAGTGTTGGCACGTGGCACAACATTAAATGCGGTGGTTGGACGCCGGACAGAGAGGAGCTTATGTTAAGATCGAGGGCCTTCGGTATTGGGGCCGAGGGCTGTATGACCGAAGGCTGGTGTGATGAGGCGAAGTTTCCAAGCGCGTTGTTGGGCCAAAAACGGGGTGACATCCCTCAGTTTGAGGCCTTCGGCCCTGGTGCCGAAGGCGGCCCCTTGTGGGATGCGAGTTGCATCATACTTGGGCTGCGGGATTTGGGCCGTTTGTGTCCGTTGGGTCTATTTGAAGTAGCAGAAGTATGTGGGTCGAGGGTTCCCGGGCTATATACTCCATCAGGAGTCCCCCACTCCCTTTGTGAGAGCTTCTCGAGGAAAAGGGGAGTAGTTCCATGAATTTGCCGAAGGCTATCATGTTGTTGTTGATTTTTGTGATATTTTGGTGTTTTCCACTTCTTACCGAGGGGAGTCCACTAGTCCCCCACTCCTTTAGGCCGAACGCTTATCCGGGGTGAAAGGGTGTTTGCAAATGTGATAACTAGAGGGTTGTGTATTCTCGTGGCCGGTGTGGGATGTCTGCTGGGGCCTGCGGGTTCTGCGAGGTGACCGATGGAATGTTACCGTTGGAGAGGATCTACACGTGTCGCACGGTAATAAGCGCTCGTTGGGCGGTGTTCCCTGATTGGGCTGAAGCAACGGTTCGTAATGATGGGCTTTTGACCAGAGGCCCAGGTTCCGTGTTTAACCCTAGTTGGGACGGTTATAATTACCCATTGCCCGGTGTCATTTTTCGTGCGCGTTTTTTGTGTTGTGAAGCGAAGCTCAACCAATTTTCAGAGAGAGGAAGTACTTAGCCGATTTAAACAACGTTCCAAGGTCAGTTCTTTTCCCGTTCTTGCCCTTGCCGTATATTTTGCTTCCTTGCTTTAGATCTAGTGTTAGCTCTCCCAGTAGTTCCATTTAGCATCTTCGCCCTCGATAAACTAGCCGAGAGTATGTCTTCCGAGAGCGACTCCCAAACATCTCTATGTTGCCTTCGGCCCAGTCGGAGACGTGGATGGAGGAAAGGTCTTCGAGCTATCTGCCATTTTCGCAGGTGGATTCAGAACTGCCAAGGAGGTTGAGAGTCACCTTAGGATAGAGGACAAAGCTGAGGACTTCGAGCAGCAGGTGGAAGATGAAGAACTGGCCGAAGTGGAAGAGGAGAAAGAGCGCCTCCGGGTGACTCTCGTCGTCCCTTCTGTGCGCGTTGCGGAAGTTGACACATCTGAACCGCTCTGCCCAGATCCCCTCCGGGTTGCGCCAGTGAAGAAGATACAGGCTAAAAAACCACTGAGGTGTAAGCAGGCTGTCGTAGATGTTGGGCAGCCCGTTGGGATACCCGAAGGCCACTCCTACTTGAACACAGTCGCCCTTGTGCGGAAGACCAAGGCTGATGATGCTGATTATCGTGTGACCCTGTTATACACTGGCCTCTCCGCACTTGTGGTAGAGCCCGGTTCTGATGATGTTCTATCTCCCCCCTAAGGATGTTTTGCAGTACATATCCTCTCGGTTGCTTTGGGCCTCCGGTCCCCCCTGCATTCCTTTGTGCTGGAGTATCATAGATTTGTGGGTCTTGCCCCCTGCCAGCTCACGCCGAACAACCATTCGTACCTTTTCGGGTTCTTGTACATGTGCCAGACCTGGGGTGTGGAACCCACCCTCGACAAGTTCTTCTTGTGTTACAACTTATGCCGAGGAGGGCATGCCAACAGTGAGGGATTTGCCAACTTGCAACAGGTGCCATAGTGGAAACTATTCTCGGAAGTCCCCTCATCACATAAGGGTTGGAAAGACCGTTTCTGCTACATAAGGATGGGTGAAAATCCATTCCCCGGTCCTCCTCCTGACAGCTTCCGGTGGCACTCGAAGGTGGGGAGTGCTAGCCTTGAAAAAGATGGGGCGAATTGACCGCTATTTTCTGCAAGTGTACAGATCGGTCGTAGTAAAACCTAGAGTATTCTAGGGTCGATCCCACGAGAAGCGCAAATTGCACTTTCATGGTTTAAGTTTCTATCAACCAAAGTAAAAACTGGTTTTGATTCGATTGGATAATAAAAAGCAGGAAGTAAAAACAGAATTAAGAACAAATCAAGTAAACAATAGACAAAAATGGCCCTCGGGATTCGGGTTATACAATTGATATTAATAGAAAATCTAAGTGTTGGTTCAAGCAATTAAAGTGACAATTGGTTCTAAAATATACTAATACAGCTAGTGTTAATCCGTCAATTAAACACTAAACTTAACTAGTCGAAAAGAGACATTTGAAATTCACCACAATTTGCTAACTATGTCTAGTTAGGTAAATCATGTTTATTTTACGGGCTCACGTATCATGCTTCACCCGTTGGTGCATCACACGATATCTAACAAGCATTAAGCACGAACTCAATGCAAAATTCATTAATGAAATTCATAAAATAAATTTAATTGGAAATATAAAATGTCGATTACAATGGCAGAACCAAGCACAAGAGATAAACACTTAATATCAAGCTTTAATCCCCTAATCCCTCGGGTTAAAGTTTAGCCAAAAATCATACTTAAAGTTGGGAAGAAATTGCTCTTCAAAAGCATAAACATGAAAGTAAAAGTTCTGAAATTGAAATGCAGAAACTAGAAATTCTGAAATTAAACTAATTAATTAATATAGAATGAAAAACCGAAGATGATCGGTGAAGAAGCGGCTGAATTCCTCTCTCTTTCTCCCCTGTTTTCACCTCCGTTCTCCCCCTTTATCTGCTGCGCTGCTCTCTTTATAGACGGCCTGGGAAGATATTATTTTTGGGTCTTCAAATTGGGGAAGTAAATCCCCAAATGCTACCCCAATTAAATTCGTTCGAGGCAGCGATTTTTCTGAGGATTGAGATTCGAATTACGTTTCAAGCTTGATGGAAAGGAGGCTGAAATTTCGCTAGTATACAACAACATCCAAGCCTTAGTCCCAAAAGATATCGGAGTCGGCTAACAGGAATTCATACATGATATCACCACCAAAAGGAAAAGAAAGAAAATAAAGATAAAAAGATTTTGGCTCTTTCAATAAATACAATGCTTTGA